TCCATGCGATGGAAGAGAAATCCTGCCCCCCGGAGACTCGCCGCTACCCGCCGTGTGCGCTTCTCCCCCAGCCCCCTGCCTTGCTTCCCCAGGGAAATCCGTGATTTACTTTGGTTTCCAACCCACTTCATTCCGCTTCTCCTTCCTTATCACTGGTTTTCCGCATCGAGACCCTCATCTGCGAGGCACGGGGTGCCTGACTTCACGTTGCCTTCCTGAATGTGCCGGTGAGCACAGCCGGCAGTCCGGCGGGATGGGAAACTGGGGGAGCTCCGGCGCTTCTCACACATCCCTCCCGCCGCCCGCGGAATCCTTCGGTTGCTGCTCCGCCACCGACTCGGATCCACTAGGAAGAATTATTCTGCAGCAACAGTCTGCCCTGTTTTTCACAGGGCTAACAAGGGAGTCTGCACTCGTGGGTTACTGCTGCCAGCTTTAGGATGCCTTCTGCTGGCACCCCAAAGCCCCTCAATTCCCCTTACCTCAGCCTCGGGGGAATCAGGGCCAGGGGTCTCTGCAGAGTGGGCAGACAGAGGGATGGAGAGGTGCAGTTCACAGTCAGAGCCGTGGCACAGCTGAGAATAAACTGCATTTACCAGAATCGTAGGAAAATTTTGGGGTGGAAGGGACTTCAGGAAATCCTTTGTAATTTTTAAAAATATCTCTGTTATTTAGGCACCTAGCTTTTCAAGTCATCTAAACCCCTTAGACATTAAGTTGCACTGAGAATCAACGGGATGCAAGCTGTGAGATGCTTGAACCCATAACAGTGCAAGGGATGTTGGTTCCTTACCCTCCTCCTCCTCCTCTTCATCCCATGGTATGTCAACCTAGCAGCCATCAGCAGTGTGTAGGGTGAGGAGAAGGAGCTTCTATTGACCTTGTGCTGGTCTGTGATGCAAGACAAGCTCTGCAGCTCTGCCTGATGACTAATTTCCTCTTGCTACTGTGGCCAGGCTGCCCCTGAGCAAACACTGAAAGGTTTCTTCATGTGGAGAAAGCGGAGGCTGTGGAGAAAGTACTGGAGAAGATGTGCTGAGTGCTGGTTCAGCACCGTATCTGTGACAGCGGTGCTGCCTCCTCCATTGCATCCCATGTCCCAAGTGTCACTGTGGGTTGGTTTTCCTTCACAGAAGGACTTTAGGTGAGTCAGTTGAACTCAGAAGTGCCTGACTTCCCAGTGTGGGTAGCAGCACTCCCCTGCCTTGTGGTGGTGCTGGCAAACTGCCCTGATATCCTCTGCTAGAGCCTGTGAATTATTGCTGCTAATGCTAGGGCATGCCTTAATGACGATTTTCTCCATCTTTCATCTTAGTTCCTCTAACTCTCAAAGTTGAGAGCCAGCAAAGGGATTTTCAGTTGACCATGTTTCTCCCAAGCATCCCAGGGAGTGGCAGTAGCACCAGCCCCTCCAGCAGGGTCTATCCTTCAGTGGGAGCCTCTGCTAAAAATTTGGTGGCTCTTCTCACAAGAGGAGGACCTTGGCCCAAAATTGCAGTCTCAGCCACTAAATTCTGCCTCCCTAAAATCCCTTCACTCTTCCAGCTTGACTCAATGAACCAAATCCATTTGGGCAGTAAACAGATGAAGGCCATTAAAGCCAAAGGCATTTGCAGCCATTTACACCATTTTCCCCCCCATTTTGCCCCTAAGACATGTTTATCTTCTCAGTGCTGGTTATGTAGCTGCTCCCTTGGCGGTCGCTGCGTTACGGAGTGCTTCCAAGAAGAAACCTAAACCTGAGTGTCCCTAGTCACATAACCCCCTGTCAGACCTTCCCCTTCTCTCCTTTTAGTATCCCTGTGGTTATGGGTATCACAGGATGGCCGGGGTGGCCCGGCTCAGGGCTGAGTCACGATGGGCCCATCCCTGAGGTGACGCACGGCGCGGTGCACGCAGCCCGTCCCTGCCTGTGCCCCGGCCACGGAGGGTACAGCAGTGACAGCTGCCAGCCCAGAGCCACAGAGACTCTGTGAGCACAAACCTGCTCCCACCGTGCTCACCTTCCTTTGCTCCCACAGTTAAAGCAGGGCAAACTTTGTAGGGACTCTCTGTCACCACCCAGTTAGGTTGCTCCTGTTTGCCTTAATGGAGATTGAAACTGAAACTTGCTTGGGACTAGACTGAAGGGAGAGAGGTTTAAACTGCAGTGAAAGGGTTCATGCAACCTTTTCTACTAGCTTAAGTTGTTTAGATGAGGGTTTACTCTTGCAATCAGGCAAAGGTGAGTTTCCTGAAGAGCAAACCCATCCCTTCAGTGCATGCCATGGTAGCCCCAGAGCCACTGGTGTGCCTTCCACATGCAGTGGAGATGGGCCGTGATGCCTGAGCTCACCACCTGGCCTCTGGAAAACAAAGCACTGTGGCTGTGCTGGCATTGGAATTTGGGCTGGGAGCATATGTGTCCTCGTGCAATGCCACCAGAGAAACATGGCTTTTGGGAGCAAGTGCAAAAAAATCTGCAGGTGGTGCTGACTGCTCTGTGCCACATGGATGCAGCAGCTCGTTCTGCTACCTAGTGCCTGCATGCCAAAATGATGGTATGAGGTGAACAGCAGATGGAGGGAATCACCTGCAGAGTGACAGGGCCATGGCTATGACTTATAGTGAAATTTTGACCTCGCCTTTCTGCAGATCACATTGTGTCAGCCTTGTCTGCACTCAGAGCAGTCCTGCTGTCTGCTATGGGTTCATTTTTTTTACAGATATGGGTAAGGCAGGTGCTTGCAGGACATAGACACACTCCAGGGAAGGCTTCATCTCTGAGAGACAAGCTGATAGTGCCACTGTCCTATTCCATTGCCCTTTCTTGCTGTATTCCCATTTCCTCCCTTTGCAGCTCTAAGGTTCTCTGTGCTTGGGTGAGCAAAGCTAGCCCAGCCCAGCCCTGTTTGATATGCCTGGCATTTTTTGATGTGGTGATGCCACACCACATCACCACAGTGCTACACACTGGTGAGGTGGGAAAGGGGCTGCTCCTCTGTTTTGAGACCAACTAAGAAAATAACTTCAGCATAAAAACCAACACCACTTTTCATGCATCTCTGCTATCTCTGCTTTCATTGGTAGATAAAGGACAAGAAGAAATGGCCTCAGATTATACAGGGTAGATTTATGTTGGATATTAAGAAAATTGTTGTGACCAAAAGGGTTGTCAGGCATTGGAAATAAGGAAATAAACCCTTTGACAGTCCCCTGTGAAGAACATAAGAGTGCTGGGTAAAAATCACTGGAGAAGTGTTAACCTCTCCTCCCAGCATCCTCTGTCACTGAGCTACTCAGTCATGGTTGAACTGCACCCATGCAGGGTCAAACTCTCCCTCTCACTGCAACACCATACCCTAAATCAGACTCTGCCTTCTGCCAGTGGGTGACACACCCTGTTGAGTGGCTCTCTACCCTGATAAAAACTAATGTGGTTATAAGAAATTACTGTGAAATCCCAGAGTGTGTCTTCAGACAATATTTTTTTAAAAAAATAAATAAGTAGTAAGGAAAAGGAAACAGAAATAATCTACTGGGTGGCAAGATTTAGTTGTAGGTGCAGTTGGGATGTTTGAAAGGCTTGTCTTCAGAACCCAGGAAAGAAATGCTGCAGGTGGGTTCCAGGGAGATGTCTCCAAAGCAGTGCCCAAGGGACAGGACATTTTCCCCAGGAAAGCATCCTGACCATTTCTGAAAGATGATTCAGCTGGTGACAGCTTTGCACTTCTGAAAACCAGAACACGCTCCAAACCCAGTGAAAACCCAGAGCTCTGCACTTGTTAAAAGGAACAGCTACTCTCATGTACAGTTTCCAACATCCTCCTTAGGCAAGAGGAATTATTTTAAAATGCTGTTGAAGAGCAAAACCAGAAGTCTGATCGCAAGTGGCATGTTGAGGATATCAATATAAAGTTGAATCATCAAAGTGAGACTGAGATGCAGCCTTAATCCTTCTTCTTCTAAAGTTTAAATATGTGTCATGTAGTCTGACATTATCATTAATAGTCTGACAGCATGTGAGCAGCCGTCTTCCTCAGGAGGTTTCAGAGTTTCAGTATGTGTTTCAAAATGTACAAAATATAAGAAAGAAGAAAGGGAGAACTTTTTGCAGTAAAAATTCCATCGGGAGCACATTCTTTTATTGTGAAGTATTTAAATAACAACCAAAAAAAAAAAAAAAAAAAAAAAAAAAAAAAAAAAAAAAAAAAAAAAAAAAAAGAAAGAAAGAAGGAAAGAAAGCATAAACTTGGCAGGCTGAAAATTTTGTCCAGTCCTTAAGCTGAGGATTATAAAAAAAAAAACCAAACAAAAAAAAAAGAAAATAGACAAAAATGTCTCTGGTTTATAGTTCTATGAAAAATAAATCTTAAAAAGAAGCAATTTGAGAATATAGGCAGGCGAGGAGAGGAAAAGTGAGGAAAGGCTGCTGAAACACATGTCTATTATTAGTGAAGAGAAGTGAAATTTCTCCAGCATTAGGAAAACCCTGTAGCATTTCTAAATACCCATAAAATGTACAGTGGGAGCTGTAAGAACCCGTAAAGTTGGTGGTCTCTCATCAGTGGGTTTTATAAAAGCTATTTGGAGACTTGGCAAGTGTGTATGGGCAGGATTATGGGAGTC